TGCTGCTGCTGCTGCTGCTAAAACACTGAATAGATGCTGAGCCGAGTGGGATCCCTGGGGGATGGAGCAGGCGGGCTTGGGCTGGCAGATCTGCATCGGCAGAGAGAGGACACCCGGCCTGTGCCTCTGGGAGGGAAATCGTCCTTCCCTTACGCAACCTGCGCTCCTCAGGGTGAACCCGGCCCCTGACAGGTCGTTTCTCGTAATCAAAGTGAAATGGATTTATTTCTGGGCTTTCAAGGTCATCTTGAAAAGGTACACCTCAAACACATAAACCACACGTTTTAGGTTATTTCGGGGATTATAATATTCCCTGAGGCCTTTATGCACGATTTTTTCACTCATTCTTGTGAGGAGAGCTCATGGTCAGGCACGGAGCAGTGTATGACACAGTCTTGTAGGAAAATGCATCTCTTTTCCTCCTATTCTGCGTCATAATGTACAGAGGTAAAATTATTAGACAGACTTTTAAATCAGTTAATTCTGTACATTTTTAATCTCTGAAGGAAATGGAAAGTTGGGTGCCTTGTCTGATAAATGTGGGGTATTCTGAAAAACAGTAAGCTGGGCACAGACCCAGATTTGATCAAATATTATAAAGTTCATGTAGGTTGAAGAACGTTGCGTACAGTGATGCAATCATACGATTTTTATGCGGCTGTATTTGATTTTTAATTTGGATGACACATGGCTGTTCAGTATGTAAATACAATTACTGAATGATATTTCACCACTGGCTATTCACTCCTTTCTCTAGAGATGACTGTGTTCTCTCAAGAACAGATTGCTAAGCTTTACAGTTGGAACATTTTCATTGAGTCACTGCCTCTGCTAGGGTGGCTACAGGAGACTGATGTGCGGTGTCTCGGGTTAATAAGAGGGAGTAGCACTAAATTTTACATGCAAAAAATGGCAAGTAAGAAAATGTTTGTCTATCCTGGTTGCACTGGATGTGGATTGCTGCAGAACAGCTGGATCTGAGGTGACACTTCAGGAAGGTTTTATCATTAGCAACACTAAACACTGTGGGTCAGCAGAGCTGATAGCTATCCAGTTCTGCAGCATACTGATCATACCAGGAGAACGCAGTACAAGTCAGGCCAGCACGGCGTTATCGCAGTTCAGAGAGGATGTTTTCAGTGGTGTGTTACTACACTGGGATTTTCAGTTGGATAACCACTGGATAATGCTGCTCTCCACAGACCTCTCTTCCCCGTTCTCACACAGTCCAACGTGTGAAATGGGCACTGTATGCAAATACTTCACTTAAAAAATACAGGCTATATAGGTGTTACAGCAAGATGTGGGGAGAGAGACAGTGTTTATAGCTTGCCAAGTCACACAGAGCTTTCATTTCAAGAGGTTCTACTGTTGTGACATTAGGAGCAGAAGTCCCATTTCACCCTGTTCTCGCCAGGATCGTGTGCTGCTTCTGTTGAGCAGCAGCTTCCTGGAATTGTGTGAACTACCTCTACATCTGTTCTCCTGCACGGTTCAGCTTATTGTGGGTTGTGCACTTTTCTTCCTCCCCCTCTGTTTTTGTTAAATTGGTTTAAACTTTTTCTAACAGGATTTCTACAATTGGCCTGATGAATCCTTTGAAGAAATGGATAGTACATTAGCTGTCCAGCAGGTATTCCTTCTTATGTGAAATGCTGTTAGTAAGTTCAGTTTCCCAAGTTTTGTATTTTGGTAAAAAAAAAAGGGAACAGAGCATGCTACTTACCTGCTTAGAATGCTGCTGCACAGGAGTGAATTCCATAAGCACCCTAGATATATGTAAAAAATTGTAATTATTAACTGTGCATGCAGAATTAACTAGAATTAGCATGTGTGGTTTAAACAAATCAGATTTAAGAAAATGGTGGGGTTTCCTGTGGGGTTCTTTTGTTTGGAGACAGATGTTGTAAAAAAGCTGTAAAATTTACCCGTTCTTTTCCCTTTTCAAAATGAGGAAAGGCATTTTTTTTTAGATCTGGCATTTTTTATACAAGTTTTCTTACCTTGCCGATCTACTCTTTAACTTTTTAGTCTGTTAATCACTTCTTAAGTAAAGAGAAAAAGTCAGTCCCTCAAAGATGTAATGTCCTAAATATACTGTCTTACTGTAACTGCAACCAGATCTAGAGTTCTTTTTTTTTTCCTATCTCCTAGTATATCCAGCAAAACATAAGGGCAGACTGTTCCAACATTGATAAGATCCTTGAACCTCCTGAAGGCCAGGATGAAGGTGTATGGAAGTATGAACATTTAAGGTAAGAACCCATCTTCTGCCAACATAGTGTCCCGATTCTAAGGTGTGTTCATTGACAGTGGTAGCGAGTCTTTCTGAATATGAGAGATCAAAAATAACTTTGGTATTAATTATTTTCCAAATTCCTGGTTCTTTCCAAAGATTTATGATGCACTTTGATCCAGTGTTTTTGATGTTTTTTAAGAAAGTGTTTGTACCTCACTTCAGAAGTTGTACTAATAATGCATTTCCATAGCACTCTCTCCTAGTACCATCAGTTCTTCATCGCCACTCATTGGGAAAGTGATGCTCCCATGGCTTTTTCCGAAGCTTACAGGAAAACAGGCATTAGCTGGGAAAGCAAGAGTACCTGTGTCTTACAGCTCTTTTCCTAGTTGTAAGGAAACTCAGAACTTTTTGTCCTTCTCTCAGTTTGTTTTATGCAGTATAATAAATATGTTCAGCCTGTGTACTCTGTGCCTGAAAGCATTTTTCAGTTGTGCTGTAGGTTTACACCCTGTTAATTAATGCAGTAATCCTTTTTTCCTTATGTTATTTAGTATCCTTGTGTCCTGATTTTATTTTTCTTATAAGTGTGTCTTCTAAGTAACTTTATCAAATATACTTTCAGGAATAACAATAGTTCTAGGCTACTACTAGATTTATGTATCTTGGCTTTTTGCTTCCCCTTTTCTTTCTCTCTCCTCTGGTCTGGAATAGTTCTAATAGACGTGGAGAATCCTGAAAAGAGGAAAAAGTGTTTACGAACACGTGCAAAAGACACTTTAAGAATTTCCCCTGTCCTTTCACCAACAATGAAAATCACTGTAGATTCACAGAAGTTACTTGTCACTAAATACTTGTCACTTTTGGAAAACTTACTCAGATCCTTCTTGTGGGCTGGAGAGGTGAATTCTCGTAGGTTAAAGAATGTACTTGCAGGTACATTCTAGTGAAAGTGGTATTTCTAGAAGTCACATTCTACTGTTAATGATTTGATAATTTAGCTGCTTAATTGATCTGGAGAAAGTGTATCTCAGAAGGATGGAATGATCCAGCTATATGAATTTAAAAATTACACTTAAGAAATCAGTTTTCTTGAAGAGTTCTTTAATTTTTAAATCTGTATTTGTGAAATAGCACTTTCCTCCATAAAAAACTCGGTACCTTAAACACTTGAACTAAATTATTTGTTAAGCTCAGCCTCTACTGTCAGCTAAGAATTAAAATTAAAAAAAAATATGCTGGTGTGAATTTGTTTCTTTCAACTTGTAGTCCTTTTATAGCGTGTTAATTCCTAGCTTATTGCCTTTTCAGGTGTGACACATCAGCTGAAATTATTTGATGGTATTCTTTAAGTATGATTTTTTTTCATGTTCTGATATATTTTTTCCACTTTAGAAGAATCATTTCCAAAAACATTAAGAGATCTGTGAAGAAGATCACAATGTATAACCTTGTTTTATATTAGATGTTTCCAGTGGGAACAAAAATTGTTGATTTTGATGTTGTTGTGTTCAAATTTTTTTAGACAATTCTGCCTTGAGCTCAATGGACTAGCTGTCAAACTTCAGGTAATTCTTTTCTTGATATTTTTATATTGTATCAGCGAGGAGACTTTTTTGTATTTTAAGATGCAGTTTGCAGAGCTTTCTTCTAAATTTATACACAGAGATATGAGCAGTGGTTGGAGGTAAGAGGTTTTTAGGGTTTTAAAGACTTCTGGCAAATAACCCTTTTTGGTGGGAGACAAGGCAAGAAAGTGATTTGAAAAGATCAGCTCATTTTTGCTGTTGGGTGGTTTTCATAACTGAACAATTGTTTTAACAGAGTGAATGTCACCCAGACACATGTACTCAGATGACAGCAACTGAACAATGGATTTTTCTGTGTGCAGCTCATAAAACTCCCAAAGAGGTACGGATGTATTTTGGAAAACTGACCCCACTGATGTAGGGTTTTCTTCCACAGTTTGTATGTTCATGAGGAGACCATTACAACCGGCTGCTCAGTCAGACTGAGAGCTTCTTGGGTTAAGGGTATCACTTGAGGTAAAAAGCACTGATATACTCAGGTGCAGGTTTGGTTGGGTTTTTTTGATAAGGTATTAATTTAGGCTGTAAAAGAGAGAGTCTGGCAACTTGACTATGTGGGAAACAAATAAACTGGGAGGTAATGATCGCCCTTCCTTTCAGTGTACTTCCTTCCAGTATGTATTCTTATTATACAGCTTTACTCAAGGAGATGTATAAAATTCACTACTCCTGTGCGTAATCACATTTCCATAGTAACTTTTTTCTTGAAATAATTTACATGGGTTGTGAAGCAGAAAGTAAATGGTTCACTTGAGGAGGAAATGTAGTTAGACCTTCAGAGAAGCTACATGGCAGCTTCCAGGAATAAAAATGACCGGTGAAATTAAAAGCATCAGGAAACTTAATTAAAATGTTTTTCTTTAACCGATTATATGACAATGTCATGCATGCACTCATACACGTGCTCTCTCACTGTCTATTTTTGTAGTGTCCTGCTATAGACTACACCAGACACACACTTGATGGAGCTGCATGTCTTCTGAATAGCAATAAATATTTCCCCAGCAGGTAAAAATACGTTCATTTGGGAGGAGGGAGGGAGTAGGGGGCACGTAAACACTTACAAAGCATGTGGAAATGCATAATGCGTTCTTCGTGGACTACTACTGAAAACATCAGAAATCCTGCAGCAGGTGGCACTTGTTGGTAGAGCTGTTGTTACTTTTAAGCAAAGGAAGAATTCCTACTTCTTCAAATAATTTACCATTTACTGGAGCAGATGCCTGCTTTTTGTGTGGAAATTGTTCTGCTAATGTCTGTTGGTGTTGTGGGGCTTCCACTGGAGTAGTGCCAGCCTAAATCACAGCATGGCCTTTAGAGAGACAGTGTGACTCAAAGGACTCAAAACACTGCACCACTGAAAGCCTCGGAAGCCAACACCATTCTGCTGTGGGACATCAGTGACCACAGAAGACAGAGACAGAGTGTATTGGATGGCCAGCCCACACATTGGATCATGGAAACCTCACTGGAGAAGTAAAAATTGTGCTTCTCCAGGAAAGTGGTACTGGCAAGGATGTACAACTCAAAGTCTTCTTCTTCCCTTTGCCCATCAATGCTAGAAATCAGAAATGCAGCCCTTACCAGAATAACTGATGATGTTTAACTACAAGTAAAACCATTTCTGTAGTCAGAATACACTTCTTAAATGCAGAGTATGCACCAACATTTTAATCTTCTTTGCAAAAATAAGCAATTGCGGACACGGATAGCTGCAGACTTGTTAAGTCTGAATTTCATATGCAATTGTATAATATAGTTTAACAGTCAGAATTCACGTCAGTGTGCATCTTGGCAGTCATTTTGGTAGACCTGTTTTAACCTTTCTTTACAGGGTTAGCATAAAGGAATCCTCTGTAGCCAAATTAGGATCAGTGTGCCGAAGGATTTACAGAATATTTTCACATGCTTATTTTCATCACCGGCAAATATTTGATGAATATGAAGTAAGTAGTTTCAAATTACATCTTGATAGAAGAGCATCTACTGAAGTTACAGCTATGATGTAATTGCATTATACATTTTCTTTAAATCCTGCCAGATGATCTGCATTCAAGTGAAGTATTGATTGTAGTAATTAGTTTTAGAACTGAAATGCTGTGTTATACACACATATATATCTCCATGAAAATTAAATTATATAATTATTTTACCCAGTTATGGTTTCCATCACTAGGATAAAAGGTCAGAATTTGAGAGTTTTTGTAGCAGCAACTCAAATTCATCTTGTTTTAAAGATTCCTGAACGTATTCAGGCACTTGGTATAGTTAGTACTGCTATATATATATATATATATATCTATATACCTATATATCTATCTATATATATATATGTTTCCTGTTTGTTACACAGCAGTTAAGGAATTATAATGATAAAACTGCAAAGAAACAGAGCAGCTGGTGGCAGCCTGTGCACCTCCAGGAACTTCCAACTTTTTTTTCTTTTCCCCTTAATGGAAAAGTAGAAATTAAGAGATAGAAAGGAAGTAAGAGGTATAGCTGGATGTAAAAGGGGGCCTTTGCCAAATCCCACCTAAGGCTGCTGGAACAGCTACAGCACAGTTGTGCCCTGTTCTGTTGGGGACAGAGTGTGTAGGAGTTTCACAGTAACTTCACATTCTCTTTTGGAGAGTGGATCAGGACTACACTGACATTTGAATATATTCTTGCCTGAGGCTGTTGAATTGAGCTGTGACTTCAGTAGGAGTTGTGTTAATTGCAGTAACTATAAGCAAGCAGTAAAGGAAAGACTTAATAGAAGGAATATAAATTTACCATTTAAAGCATTACCACTTCTTTCTAAGACTTGTAAATCTAATGAGATGTTTATACATAACTGTGGGTTTTTTTAGTATGTTCTCCTCATTATTCCTCCTGTATACATATTTTTTCCCCTTTTTTCCATCTCCAGAATGAAACTTTCTTGTGTCACCGGTTCACTAAATTTGTGATGAAGTATAATCTGATGTCCAAGGATAACCTGATTGTACCAATTTTGGAAGAAGAAGTACAAAATTCAGTGTCAGGGGAGAGTGAGGCATGAGGGGAAGGGCAGTACAGAAGCCTGTACTGAATATAAACAAAACATTAATTATGTACTGTATATATCATTTTAGACACTTCAATCACGTATCCTCATAGCTTTGTTAGTATACTTTTTGTATGCTGTGTGCATTGCCTTTTATTATGGGAAATACTTTAAGTTATTCATGGGCTGTATATTCATCAATGTGGCACTCATGGTTTTTAAATAAAAGTAGTAGTATCTGTTTATAATGCCTGTTAATAAAAGAATTTACAGTTCTCTAAAATTGCTGCTAAACAATCATTGAATCACAATCCTAAAGATGTGTCTGATTGGGTGGAAAAAAGTGAGATTAAGATTTCACAGTAAGCCATTTTTAAATGCAGTAGATATATTAAGTCTTAGTTCAAAGATTATCACCTAAAATATCTAATTCTGCAGGAAGCTGCTTGCAATGTAGCTTATTCCTAATTTAGCTTTTATTTTTTTAAGATGGCTTTGAAGATTTATTTTTGGATGTGCATATTTCTGTATGTGTATATCCAAATACTAATAGGATCTATAGTATTAGCAATACCAAAAAGACAATTTCACTATGCTATTGAACATATATATTCTCAGTATACATCTAACGTACTTTCTGGGCTTGGTTTTTTTTGTTCACAGTAGAGCTTTGTGTACAGCAGGGGACAGGTTCTGTCCTGTTAAGGCAGACTTCTGCTGTTCTCCAGTCCACAACGTCTCTAAAGAGTAACTGTGGCAGAAAAGTCAATGGCTTATACCTGTGCATATTTATGGTAACTACTTACAGATTATACCTCATAAATACTCATGTTACACTACATAACGCATGAGCACAGTCTTTGCTTGTATTCCTAGTAAAAACATTCTAAGTACCTGAAATATTGAACCTGATTCTTTGCAAGAATTAATCTTGTTTTCAACATATGTTAATTTGTTTTTCTTCATGCACCTGAATTATATTATTTGACAGAAAGATTTGGATTCATGCTTCTGTTCTCTATAAGATGTTTATTCCAAATTGTGTCTGCAGTTTTGCAATAACTGACAATTTCCATGAGTGCTGCTTAATTGTGTTATGTCTAGAATGATAGAATTAAATGTTTTAGAGCTGAATATAGCAGAGATACTGCTAAGCATACATGGATTCAGGGTCTACCAGTGTTCTCATGTTAAATGAATTTTGCTTAGCTGTTTAAGAAAGTTATCTGGTTGTTTCTCAGAGGTTGCCAGGGACCCTCTTTATATATCTTTAAGCAGGTCATAATGGGCTAACTCAGCTAGTTTCTGTACTCTACACTTTGTTTTCTATGTTACACTTACTCGGAAAGACGTGAGTCCACCTATTTTTAATGTCTCTTTTCATAATATACTAAACATGCCTTAAATCCTATTTCTCTTTATTGGAATCAAGCACACCTCAAGCAACTGCACCACCTGGATGTAAAGGGAATTTAAACAATTAGAAAATAGAGAGACTAAGCTTAGGTACTTCAACAACTGTATTCTTCAGCAGCTGTTTGTCTCATGTTTATCACTGTATTTAATTGTCAGCAGGGTCACTGCAGGAGATGTTGTCCCAGTGAACATAGCTTTAGTCTATACACTTAGCTATAACTTGCCTTGTACAGACCAGGTCACTTGATTTTCATAGGTATCTTAAGAAGTTTGTACTGCAGGTAGGAGGATTGTATTCTGGAAGTAGTCAAACAGCTTTAGTTAGTAAGAGTCTGATGCAGGACCACCCACAGTGTGGTTCTTTGGACAGTCCCTCTGTATGCTTATACTGACCACAGGGACCCAGACAGGCACAAACATGTAATTGGTGTTGCTAATTACATTTCCTCTATGAAACTGAAGAAAATTACGCAGTGCTCAGGACTGCACTGAAATTTTAAACCTCTTTTATTCCTCTTATGGTTTAAGAGTTTCACTTCAAAACAAAACTTAGGAAGTTTTAATCCTATTTATTCTCATTTAGATTTGCACTGTAAAGTGGACTTGCTTACTAAGCTGATCTATCTTATATAAGGCCTAAGTGAAAACACTAATTGTATTTTCCCTTGCTGTTGTTTACATGAGTACTGTGTACACACATGTGCCTGAATGGTACCATGAAAGTTCAGTCAGCCTAAGCAAACCATTGATTTGTCTAATAAGTATTAACAGGTTTAATTTAGACTTTACATAATAGGGAAATCAAGACTGTCTTTGAATTATATTGTAAAAAAAGAAGATTAAACTGTTTCTTTATCCATAACACTATATTTTGGTAAGTGATTCTCATTTTTCATGTTGTCCAAGAATTCAGGCAACTGAGTGCTTCCAGGAGCTAGTGTTCTCCAATCTACAAGGTGTGAAACTGTCTTTCTTCTTTAAGAATACAATTCTCATTAGCATCTTGAAGTCAGACCTCAAATTTATACATCTCAAATCAGAAAACAGTGGCTCTACAATTAAAAAGTAAGTGAGACCTAGAAGAGGACCTTTCAGATACCAAAATAAGCACATGACAACAGCACAGAAGCAAAGGATTACTGTCATATGACCTTTTCCTTAGTCACTGAGGTTTCAATGCTGTTTGGCTTGGCATATCTCACAACAACTCAGCCACAGTGATTCTACCATTCTCTCCGATGCTGTCAGAGTTATCTGCTGTAACAGATCACAACATGTCACCAGACCAGTTCTTCTGAACTGCTTTGTCTCTTTCAAGTTATGCTTATCTGAAGTCAAGAATCTTCACTTTAATTCATACCAATTGTCTAAATTCGGATAGAGGAATCTGGCTTTGAAAAATCTAAGTCCTAACTAACACTGTTCTCTAAATTAAGCCATAGGGCATTGTCAAGACAGCAACCCACACTTCTTACCTGCAAAAGATTAATATACTAAGAACAAGGAGAACCTAACCAGCTTTTAATAGATAGCAGTAACCTAACCAGATTTGCCTTGTGAGCTGTATGGATGTACAGACAAGACTGCAGAAAAGTAAGTCTAGCTTGAGGAAAGGTATACATTGATCTAACCTGTTTAATGTCAGTGTGAAACAAACTGGTAGCTGATTTGGTAAGTGCTTTTAATGGTAAGAATCTTCTTACAAAAAGAAAATAGTATTTTACAGAACAGAAACCCAGAAGTTAAGCAGCAGTTTATTGCAGTTGACAGGTATGTACATGAACTGTTGTGACAATTACAAGCTGGGCATATTTTTTTTTTTACAGTGGATAGTTGCTCCCTGCTTGTAAACAGTAGGAAGGTGTTTCTAATTCAAACAATTTAAGACTCAGAAACAATAGAGTCTTGCAGAGGTTCACAAACAGCATTTGTTGCCTTCTGTCTCTGTTCTTTTTAATAGCTGCAGGGAATTTCTGTTGTCATATACAGGTAAGGGACTTTTCTACTACAGTTCTGACACAGGCTCCTAACTGAAGCCCTGTGATTGAATAAGTAAGTGTACTTACTTTTTTTGTCAGAGAATGCATCTGTGCTTTAACTTTCATTTGCAGTTCTTTCAATAAGAAGTTTAGTATGCAGAACAGATTCCAGTAAAATCAAAACTGAACAGTGTGTGTGTATAGTAGCATTCAAAAAAATCTTGCCAGTTAATCTGACAGTTTTTCTGATTTACAGACTTAATTAATGGACAGTGCTGGTCACAACACTAATAAAGGCACACCCTGACATTCTAGTTTGGGTAAGACCAGGTGATGAAACAAGTAGCTTAAATTTTAATCCCCTATACTCAAAATGCTTCCAAGTAAGATATAGTTGGCTTTCAGAATTTTTAACTATAAAGAAAGAAATAAGGGATTTTCCTTCATTTGTTTTAGCAGTATTTTCAGTTATTTCTGTTTCAGCATCAATGTCCTAGGAAGATGGGTGTTTTTTTTTGTGTTCTTCAACTAATATAAGTAAAATAATTCTTGCACAGTCTTTACACAGGGTGAGCAAACAACTCACTCTCCCTGATTTCTGAAAGCAAGCCTTGCAGCAGGAGAACACTCTCAGCCACATGCCCACCAGGGCAAAGCACTAGTGTTTATCATAATCTAAAGAACAGGATAAGCATGTGGTCAGTCAGACCAGCTTTCACTGTCTCCAACAGTTTCTGGTTTAGGGACTTTCAGGAGGAACAGGGCAATTTTTTTTTCCTTTCAAGAACTTACCAGTCACCTTTTAAATCCATGCAGCTTTATACACAGCATCCTGCAGCAAGGAGATCTACAGTTAGCTGAATAGATACCTTGATTTGTTTCAAACCTACTACTTATCACTTCCATGATTCCCTTGAGATCTTGTATCAAAAAAAGAAAGCTGAATAATTTACTCCTTTGCCACCCTCTCCATGCCACTCACTCTGCAGATCTCTCTCTTGGCTCCTGTCAGGTTGACTTGCCCCACTCCGGTGAAGAACTGTATTTTGATTCTCCCCCCACCCCCCAATACAGAGCCTAAATGTAATCTCCCTTGTGCACATCCCATGAATTGTAAGGGGAAAAGTTATTTTAAAATAAGATACTAACTTATTTGAATTTTCTGCATTCTCAACAGCTGATATGAAAATATCTCGGTTAAAAGTTACATGATTCTTTTTACCCAATAAATGTATTCTAAAAACATTAACTGCATTCAATTTAGTACTTTATAAACTAACTTGTTATATAAATAGTTGCAGTTCAGTTTTGGTTTAAGATTCACTACTGTTAACCATCTTAAGCAAGGATACTACTTTATAAAAGGTCAGTAATTTCTTTGATATACTGTAAAAGCTTTAACTTGGAATATTCAGAATTCCTAGGGTTTTTTGCTCAATTTTTGCCGCTTTTACAGGTTTGACTTGAATGGAGAACCACCAGTAGTCAAAATTACAGACACACAAGAGTTTTGGATGACTTGTGAAAAATAATTTTACAAGTAGAGCAACATATTCCAAGTTACTCAAGACCAGCTGTTACCCCATTTTTAATGCACTAAAGTCACTTGGCTCTCTGCCAGAGACAGATGTAACATGTATTTTCGTAACTTCTTCCACATTTGTGTACCACAGAGGAGGTCCCTGCTACTGCATGACCATGACTGCTGCTCAGGGAGTAGTGAGCTGCACGAGCAAGAAGTGAGGATGGAAGCACAGCAGCTTCATCCTTTCCCCTGAACGCTCTTTCTGGTGTTTGATGAGGTTGAATACACTTCACCCCATGTCAGACACATTTAGCCGAGACATTTTTTTATATATATACATCAGCATATGCATATATAGTCTAT